GTGCCGACTGTGATCATGCGTTGGTACGCCGTCGTTTCTCCATGAACTTTACCGGGAGGCGCACCAAGTGTCCCCTACGATTGGCAACTGAGAAATTGTCTCAGTCCTCGGTCAGGCAAGCCTATCAAGAAGCACTGTATACCGAACTTCCGCAGTCTTGTCCTAATGACGCTGGGCTTCAGTGGAATAGGATATCGGCCGCCATGTACGACGCAGGAGCATCTACTTGTGGCACTATCAATCGTCACCGCACCAGTCACTGGATATCCGAGAGGTCGGTGAACCTGTTGGAATCTAGAAGACACCTCCCGGCTGGTTCTGAACACAATGTGACCAGACGGGCTATTAGGCGTGAACTAAGGCAGAGCCTGCGTGCTGACAAGGAAGCCTGGTGGACCAGTAGGGCTCAAGAAATGGAGGAGCAGTAGGTAATTACCGCAAGCTCTTTCAGCTAATCCGCACCACTGGTCCCAGAAAACCAGGCGTCAGTGAGACAATCAGAGACAGCGCGGGTGCGCTGATACACAATAAGGAGCGCCGTATGGCTCGTTGGGCCGAACACTTTCAAGATCAGTTCAGCTGGCCCCTTGCTCCCGGACCTCTTCCTACTCAGGTGATGCAGGACGAGCCATGGACGGTTAGTTTAGAGCCTCCGTCGGAGGCCGAGGTCCGAAACGCGATCACAGCCCTTAATCGTTTTAGTGCAGCTGGCCCGGATTCCCTCCCACCTGCACTATTTAAGGATGGAGGTGAGGTCCTCTTCAAAGCACTGACCTCCTTATTCGAATGTGTCTGGAAAGAAGAGAGCGTCCCGGCTAATTGGAACGAACCGATTATAGTGGCAATACACAAGAAGGGCAGTCGCACAGACTGTTCTAACCATGGGGGTATTAGCCTAACGCCAGTTGTGACAAAATTACTGGCCTCGATTATCGTTCGTCGCCTCACTGCGGAACGGGAATCTCGGATTAGGGAAGAGCAGGCCGGATTCCGCCCAGGACGTGACTGTATGGACCATATATTCACTTTGCGGCAGGTGCTAGAGCAGCGGCACGCATACCGCAGATCGTCAATAGCTGTGTTCCTCGATTTCAAGAGTGCGTTCGATTCAGTCGATCGATCGATTCTGTTCGAAATACTTGCGCGGAAAGGTGTTCCCACGAAGTATGTGAACACGTGCTTTATACTCGAACACTACAGGCCGCGTCAGGGTCTACGATGTCCTATCGGATAGCTTTCTGACCACAAGTGGCGTTCGTCAGGATTGTCCGATTTCCCCATTTTTGTTCAATTTCGTCGTGGATTCTATCATGGAGTGTTCCCTTGCGGAATCTCACGATGTAGGCGTTGAAGTGCTGCCTGGTGAAAGGTTAGTTGATCTAGATTATGCGGACGGTATCGTCTTGCTTTTCGACGATGTTGGGGCGGCGCAATCAACTCTGAATAGCCTGTTCAGAGTGGTCCCATTATTTGGTATGCACTTCGCACCTTCAAAGTGCAAAGTGTTGCTGCAGGACCACCAGCCACTTGATGACCGCTTGACGCTTGCTAACGAGGAACTCGAGGTGGTTGATCATTTCACTTATCTTGGCAGCTGCGTCAGCAATGATGGGCGCATAGAAACTGACGTCAGCTCACGCATTGCAAAAGCCAGAGCTACCTTCATGAACCTGCGGCATCTTTGGCGACAGAAGGGAGTTTCCCTCCGTCGGAATGCCGGGTATACAAGGCCACAGTGAGGGCCGTTCTGCTCTATGGTAGTGAGACTTGGCCCCTTCGGTTTAAAGAGCGGAGACGCGTTCATGTCTTTGATCATTGTTGTCTGCGAAGCATTGCTGGAGTCGGATGGCACCAGCGTGTCCGCAACGATGATGTGCGTAGGCGAGTACTAGGTAGTGATAATCATGCTAGCTCCCTAGAACAACAGATAGCACTGAATAAGTTGCGTTTGCTCGGGCATGTTCTACGTATGCCTGGTCACCGCTTACCTAGGAGGGCCTTGTTCAGTCTACCAGGTGTAGGGTGGCGCAAGGCTCGAGGTGGACAGAAGTTGACTTGGCAGCGGGAAATGAAGTCACTGACGACCAAACTGGGTGCCGTTGGTCCGTCTCGCCATCCAGGCTGGAGTCCACGTGACTAGCCTTGTGCTTGGCTCGAGACTTTACAGGATATGGCTCGCAACCGACACCAGTGGCGCGTCTGCTGCCGTCTTCTAATCGGATTGCCTGTTTAAAGTGTGTTTGGTGCTGAGTTATCTGCGGGATAATGGCTGATTATGACGCGTGGCAGTGAAAGCCGCAAGGAAGCTGTCTCGCCGATGCCGCCTTATCTTTGCACGATAGCCAGCTGTTTGTGACGGTATGTTGTCTACACAAGGTGTAGGTGCCTTGATCCTGAATGTTTGCTTAGGGCATTAAGGTTTTCAGGTAAGTCCCCCTTCTCTCCCTCTTATTATTCTTTATTTCATAGGTCCTCATGGTTGTATGGCAGCGAAGCATCAGTTCAAATGGCTGATGTACTGCTGTTGATGAAGATGATGATGATTGCGTTGTTTGCGCGCCGGGAGTGTAGATGGAAGAAGACGTGGCTAAGCGATGGCTTGGTCGAGGGGAATGAAGGCCATCACTTCGAAGCTAACCTCGGTTAGGGCCTCTCGGCTACCCGGTTGGGGGACCGAAAGACGATGAACACGTTTGGCTGGAAACCCTTGCTGACATGGTTAGGAGCCGACCTCAATGGCGTTCGTGCTGTGAGTTTCGTTGTCCCTCCTCATCTTTCTTAGCCTCCCCCTCCAAGCACGATCACATTTCTTAGCATAAAATAATATTACATAATAATTTTTTGTTGCCTAGTAGCCGGCTGGTAGCTTTCCGGAACGATGCCCATCCGTTGCTAGTAGCTCAGCTGGCATGCATCTGTTGCATGTTTTTTATGTATTGCGGCACAGTAGCTGAGGTGTTTTCCACCTCTAGTTAACGTGTATAATGGTGATGATGATCCGATACTGGTCTATCTTGTTTGCCTCCGACATCTATTTCACATACCACAGAAAGTACGTGATGTGGTCGCTCAGGCATCTGACTTGCGAATCTCAACTCCTGCTCACGTTTAGGCGACTTGGCAGTATCCTAGCCTGTAAAACAACTACTTGGGACTAAATTGCAGTAAAGTATCGGTACCAAGCACTACTGCAAGCTAAAGTGCACTAGTTTGAAGTAAACCCGTGATCAGCATTGTATCAGTGTGCACGTTATCTAGTTACTGTGCTGCAACACATGAGAAAGGAAAAAATGACGCAACACAGGCACACCATCTGTGCCATTCGTAACGGATGGACATCGTTCCAGAGGGTTGTCGGCTGGTTATTGTGCCATGAAAATTTTATTATGCGTCATAAATGAAATCATGATTGGAAGGGGAGGGACAAGGTAACTCACAACACATGCCACGGAGGTCGGCTTCTAGCCATGTCAACAAGTATCCAGCCAAACGTGCTCGTCTTCCGGGCCCCAACCGAGGCAACATGATGTCGCATGAGTAGCGCAGGATAGCTGGCTGTTGGGCAACACTACTGTAAGAGTTGGGACAATGCGCATACCTCATGTCCCGACGGGGTAATAAATATTGCGTGCTTCATCTCCTAAAACCGACGAGCAATACGCTGGGGCCGGTTTACATAGCTGTGGTATCGAACGGATAGACGACGTGCGAACAATCGTGTTGCGCATGGGTATATGGGAATAAACGTTAAGGATGCGGTAACTCCATTGCAGCCACGCAAGTGCGGCTCAATTGCAGCGATAATGGATGGCCTATACACTGCCAGCTGTACGCCGCAACGGCGTTTCGCTGCCACGCGACCACCACCAGTCGCGCGTGGGCTGAGTATACCGCGAGGACGCCCGCCCGTACGCGGATTCAAACCGGTGACCTTATGGTTGCAAACCAGACGCGCATACCACTCGGCCACCGGCCGACCCTATACACTGCGGGTGCACATGGATAAGTACGCCACTGTGCTCTAGATAAACAGAGCTAAAGTTCACAACTGGTGCTCAGCTACCTAGTGCTTGTGATTGAGAAAGAATAACTGACTGAATCAACGATATTACGGGTCGGACGATGCAAAAGACACAAGTGAACAGTGTGCATGTTTCAATGAGGTGAAGTAATTCCATTTTAGTTAAACCGTGAAATCCACGATAAACGAAACTGAAAGTGATAAACGTGAAACATTTAAGGGATATGCAGTGATTACCATCAAACGGAAACAGTAGAAATTTACGGAAAACGGCATGTCACAAGCAAGGTCCACTAAGTTGGTTGACGATGAAAAAATCATGTTATTGATTTTGGTTAACCTCTAAATATCCACATGAAGCGCCGCTTGTCGGACATCGAATTGGGTAGATTACATGCAACATCGAGGAGCTACTCGACATCTCGAAATGATAGCGCTAGGTACTTGGAACTCGCCAGCATGCAGACAGAGTCTTGAAATAGTGAGCCAGTCGAGCACTGTCTGAATGAGTAGCCATTTCTTGATGAACGATATACTGTGCATTGTAGTTGTAACCCAAGTGCTTGATAACACGAGCGATGACACATGGATGGGTAGTTTACAGCACATAATAAATGCGCATATGTATGTCTAGTCATAACAACAAAAATAAACCGATCTGTGTAGATGCAGGTCCACATTCAGGGGTGCGTGGGTCACCTGCTCTGCGTCGAACCGTGCGCTGGCCTGTGTAAGCTTAAGTGGGGTGGATAGTTTTTCTTGTATTCTACACAAAAGCAAGAAACGTCCGAATTAATTATAGTGCAGTGCCCATTGTGGTATTTCTCTCGATGCAAGCAGTGAAGTGAGGCAGCGTAGGAAAGTTTAGAAAATGAACGGTTAATCTAGAAAAGTAAAGTTAAGCATGCTTCAGCCTTAACGAAGTCTAAAGACGTGGGTTCAATATCAACAACACCGCCAGCTACCCAAACACACCTACCTCGATTCTTGACAATGAAGCTCATCAACGTCCAATACGAAAGATATAACCGAGGTAGACGGAACAGCGGGCTTAGCAGCCGGCTTTTTGCACAACTTCAAGCGTACGAAAAAGTTGAACAAGGCACTGGAGAGGATCGCAACGGGCGGTTGCAAATGGTTGGGGAAAAATCTGCAAATAAGATCAATGGAAAGTACAATAATACCCTGAGAAGGTAAAAGAATCCGTAACATCTCCCAATGTTCCGCTTTCGTGCCTCTGGAAAAATCGCAAGTACAGCCACGCAACAAGGACGCCGATCAGAAACATGGACAGGGAAACAAAGTTAATCAATTCGAACGTAAACAGTATTGTGACAGTGACAACGCTCATGAAAGGAATGTGTTTATATCGAATGTTTCCAAGAGGGAACCCGACGAGAAGCTTTTCTCCCATCATTTGACGCCCCACTACAGTCAAACCTCCAAGGAGAGCAATGAGACCGCAAATCCTCTCGTTGAAGAGCAGGTCTGTGTTGAAAGTAAATGAGTACAGAAGCAACAGAGTGGAAATTGTACAAAGAGCCGTACACAAGTTAACGACAGCACAAAACTTCAGCAGCTTGGACCAAGTATAGAATGATAGGAGATTGTTGAGCAAAAATAAGGTCAACAAATCACTTAGGAGAAAAAACACGGAATGATTAAAAAATGAAAAGGTAAGTACTGTCCAAAGATAATAGTTGGGTACAAAAAACCTCCCAGGTGTTACAGCCAAGTATAAATCTGCGTTAGGCACAAAGGAAAGCGCGTAAAATGCTATCTGAAGGGCCATGACTGGCCCCAATTGCCACTGCAACCCATACATGATATGGTCAGAGCACAGCTCAGACAAAGTGGTCTCCAAGGCTGTAGAATGGCGGACCGAAATATTCACGTATATCTTAAACGTCCAAAATCCGGACGATGTGGCTGGTAGTGTTCATTGAGACCGATCGTGTAACATGCGACCGGTAGAGGGTTCCGAGGGCTTTCGTGTCCGGGGCGTAGGTGGATCGTATTAGACAGAGAGGGGCTGAAATGCAAAGAAGATACCTCGTAGGCGGTTGAAAATTACCTAGTAAGTGTCGGAGCTGGATGGATGGTGTGCTTGTGTCACATCTCGTGGCTAGCTGGGCGGTACTGTCACAGCTGCCGATAGAGGACCGAGCGCGAGGCGACTAGATGGATGGCGTGAAAGCGTACGACGGTTGGCTAATACAACAACACCGAAGACGAAATGGGAAAGCAAAGAGAAGAGGAAACGACGCTCACAATATAGGCTATACTCGATGACAATTTACTTGTCAGCTTGCTACGAAAACACTGGCGCGCTACATTATTCTTCCTTTTATGAGGTGCTGTCCTCAGCGCCTACAGAAGCCCTGACCCGTGTCGATCTGCTGACGCACAGACTGATGAACGATGTGATAGGCTCGGACGATTCCATGTGAGGGAATGCTGGTGATCGTTGCAACGGCTGCAGTCCGCTTCAGGGACTGGCGTTATGAGCTGGCAGGGTCGCCAAATATGTAATATGCGTCCGGTCGAGGGTTTCGAAGGCTTCCGTGTCCAGGGCGTACGTGGGTCGTATTAGACCGAGGGGTCTGAAAGGTAAAGAAGATACCTCGTAGGCGGCTGGAAAAGTACCTAGTAAGTGTCGGAGCTGGATGAACGGTGTGCTTGTATCACATCTCGTGGCTAGCTGGGAGGTACTGTCACAGCTTCCGATAGAGGACCGAGCGCGAGGCGACTAGTGAATGGCGTGAAAGAGTACGACGGTTTGCTAATAGGACAGGATCTAGGGACGAAACAAGCTTCCGCTTAATGTGCGTCCAGTTTTGTGCCAGTAAGTAAAAAAGAGCCCACAACACTGCGACTTGATAGAATGTTCTTGATTCTATAATGGTGAAAAACAGAAGCAAGTGCAAGACGAGTAACACACTTTCATGAAGTAATGAGATTAGGGGCAGTCACTGAAGCCCAAGGAAATTCGGGAAACAGGGCCAGCCAATGTTGGACTAGGCTACGTTTAAATTCCCCCAGTTCCGCATGCTAATAGAGCACACCCCGGTTTGCGAAGAACCTGGCTCTTAACTTCAGCCTAGATCTATGTTGATTTAATTTCATGCAATGGCCCCGTAAGTTGTCTGACGTAGCTGGTTCAAACAGATCGGTGCGCCTGAGACCACTGAGAAAAAAGAAGTATTGCTTTGAGCTTCGATTAGCTCAGAATGCGAAAGCGAAGCCCAAGTTGTATTACAATTACGTTCAGTCAAAAAATCTTTGAGAGATGGTGTTGGTAACCTTATCATGGAGAGTGGAAGTCATGCTACAGAAGACGCGGATAAGGCAGAGGTGCTGCTGCGTGTCTTTCAGAAAGTGCATCGTGTGGATGAGGGGCGTCCAGTCCCTTCACAACCACATCGTCAAACCGGGAGTACAATGCCAGCCACTCCGCTAACAGTATCAGAGGTCTTTAGTGTACTTGCTAGCTTAGACCCCAACAAATCGGCGGGACCAGACAATGTGCATCCTGCGATTGTCAAACCACTCGCTGACATACTCCAGCACCCGGTCTTGGAGCTCTTCAACACGTCACTTCGAGAAGGCAGATTACCACAAGACTGGAAAGAGGCATCTGTAGTGGCGATACATAAGGGACGTTACAAATCTGTACCCGTCAACTACAGGCCTGTCAGCCTCACAAGCGTGTTGCTAAAATGTTTGGAAAAGTTTATCAGAAGCCGAATTTGTGAGTACTTAGTTGCTCATAACTTGATAGGAGTGGAACAACACGGTTTTGTCAAGAAGAAGTCATGTCTTACCAACTTGTGTTTCTTGGATGAAGTAACATGTTGTCTTGATAATGGGATTTCAGTAGAGGTTTGCTATCTTGACTTCAGCAAGGCCTTTGATTCGGTAAACCACCGTTTCCTACTAATGAAGCTGGCCTGGCTTGGGATTCATCCTCAATTGTTGACTTGGATATCAGCATTTCTTTTAGAAAGAACCCTCCACGTTAGTCGGTGATGTCATCTCAAGTACAGGTACCGCTCACAGTAAAGTTCCCCAGGGCTCTGTTTTAGGCCCCTTGTTATTCCTCATATTCATAAATGACTTGGCACCTCTACTTGATGAAACCTGTTATATCTTTGCTGATGACCTGAAACTGGTTAGCAGGGGTAATAGGGACACGCTGTGCAAGGATCTATGCACTGTAGCAGAGTGGTCTGTCGTATGAGATTTGCCCTTAACGCCAGCTGCTGACTTCTAGCAATGATGGAATTACAGTGCAGAGTTCTACTGGACCCCTGACATTGCAGCCTGTTGATAAAGAATACACACGGGTCGGTGGGGGGGGGGGGGGGGGGGGGGGGGGGGAGGGGGGGGGGGGGGGGGGGGGGGGGGGGGGGGGGGGGGGGGGGGGGGGGGGAGGGGGGGGGGGGGGGGGGGGGGGGGGGGGGGGGGAGGGGGGGGGGGGGGGGGGGGGGGGGGGGGGGGGGGGGAGGGGGGGGGGGGGGGGGGGGGGGGGGGGGGGGGGAGGGGGGGGGGGGGGGGGGGGGGGGGGGGGGGGGGGGGGAGGGGGGGGGGGGGGGGGGGGGGGGGGGGGGGGGGGGGGGGGGGGGGGGGGGGGGGGGGGGGGGGGTGGGGGGGGGAGGGGGGGGGGGGGGGGGGGGGGGGGGGGGGAGGGGGGGGGGGGGGGGGGGGGGGGGGGGGGGGGGGGGGGGGGGGAGGGGGGGGGGGGGGGGGGGGGGGGGGGGGGGGGGGGGGGGGGGGGGGGGGGGGGGGGGGGGGGGGGGGGGGGGAGGGGGGGGGGGGGGGGGGGGGGGGGGGGGGGGGGGGGGGGGGGGGGGGGGGGGGGAGGGGGGGGGGGGGGGGGGGGAGGGGGGGGGGGGGGGGGGGGGGGGGGGGGGGGGGGGGGGGGGGGGGGGGGGGGGGGGGGGGGGGGGGGGGGGGGGGGTGGGGGGGGGGGGGGGGGGGGGGGGGGGGGGAGGGGGGGGGGGGGGGGGGGGGGGGGGGGGGGGGGGGGGGGGGGAGGGGGGGGGGGGGGGGGGGGGGGGGGGGGGGGGGGGGGGGGGGGGGGGGGGGGGGGGGGGGGGGGGGGGGGGGGGGGGGGGGGGGGGGGGGGGGGGGGGGGGGGGGGGGGGGGGGGGGGGGGGGGGGGGGGGCGGGGGGGGGGGGGGGGGGGGGGGGGGGGGGGGGGGGGGGGGGGGGGGGGGGGGGCGGGGGGGGGGGGGGGGGGGGGGGGGGGGGGGGGGGGGGGGGGGGGGGGGGGGGGGGGGCGGGGGGGGGGGGGGGGGGGGGGGGGGGGGGGGGGGGGGGGGGGGGGGGGGGGGGGGGGGGGGGGGGGGGGGGGGGGGGGGGGGGGGGGGGGGGGGGGGGGGGGGGGGGGGGGGGGGGGGGGGGGGGGGGGGGGGGGGGGGGGGGGGGGGAGGGGGGGGGGGGGGGGGGGGGGGGGGGGGGGGGGGGGGGAGGGGGGGGGGGGGAGGGGGGGGGGGGGGGGGGGGGGGGGGGGGGGGGGAGGGGGGGGGGGGGGGGAGGGGGGGGGGGGGGGGAGGGGGGGGGGGGGGGGGGGGGGGGGGGGGGGGGGGGGGGGGAGGGGGGGGGGGGGGGGGGGGGAGGGGGGGGGGGGGGGGGGGGGGGGGAGGTGGGGGGGGGGGGGTGGGGGGGGGGGGGGGGGGGGGGGGGGGGGGCGTGGGGGGAGGGGGGGCGGGGGGGGGGGGGGGGGGGGGGGGGGGGAGGGGGGGGGGGGGGGGGGGGGGGGGGGGGGGGGGGGGGGGGGGGGGGGGAGGGCGGGGGGGCGGGGAGGGGGGTGGGGAGGGGAGGGGTGGGGGGGGGGGGGGGGGGGGGGGGGGGGGGGGGGGGGAGGGGGGGGGGGGGGGGGGGGGGGGGGGGGGGGAGGGGGGGGGGGGGGGGGGGGGGGGGGGGGGGGCGGGGGGAGGGGGGGAGGGGGGGGGGGGGGAGGCGGGGGGGGGGGCTGCGGGGTGGGGGGGGGGTGATGGCGGGGGGAGGCTGCGAGTGGGGCGCTGAGGTATGGGCGGGGAGGGAGCGCGGGGGTGAGATGCGGGCAGACAGAGGGGGCTCAGGCCTTGAGAGCGGGGGACGATGCGAGGTGGGCGGGGGAGGAATCGGGAACGGGTGGCGGGCAGGTGGGGTGGGGAGGAGGCGTGTTGCGGGCGGGGTGGGTGGGTCGGGTCTTCCCGGCTTTCGCGTTTTCTTTGTTGTCCGTCGTCGTTTCTTTTTTCGTTTCTTCTCTTTTTTGTTTTTTTTTTTACTTATTTAATA